CTCCTATTTTTAGCACACAAGCTTGATCAGAACTAGTGCAGCTCTAGGTACCCTGGTTGGAAATGATGCCTCCATCTTCAGTGTCAACATACCCTGAGTGAGGCAAGGAAGCTGCTGTCAGGCATCCCATTGTCTGTCCATTTGGCCTGCAAATCTGAGGGCAAGGGATCCCTTATAGCAGTGAGTGGAGCCCCCCGTGCATCCCATGACCACCGTGACCTACACAGCAAAATGAACAGTTGCTGGGAGCAGCAATCTCGCCACAACACCAGAAGCTCCAGCCTTCAGCAGTTTCAGCTCTGCTTCAGATCTCTGCTGTGAAGCTCCATCCCACACACAAACTCCTTGTCCCCTAAAGGAGTCCAGGGGAAGCCTTTTTCCAGAAAGCCCCTGGCAGCACTATTCCTCCAAGACAGGAGGAAGCCAGAGGAAGGGGAAAGAGATGGGTGCTGTCAGCCCCCGGTCTCCATCAGATCCTGTACAATCTGTTAATTGATGTAACACCTGTGCAAAGCCCTGCCTCTTCCCCACAAAGGAAACTCCAAAACTCTCCACTCCCATGTGCAGGAATAACACCCGTGGGAGAGAAACTTGGCCCCTTTTATTAGCCAATTAAGTAATAAAATTAGGAAGGGAAATCAAGTAATGAGAAAAGTGGGAAGAATCCCAAAAGTTGCTCCAGAGGTGTTTCCTCCCTACTCCCGCATAAAAATGATCAGTACTCACCAGGTGAGACAGCACATCAAGAAGGAAGCGAATACGTATCATAGAATAAGGTAAGGCACCAATATATTTGTATATCTATGCAGCCAATCCATCGGTTGTACCTGTCTACAATTAATATATTTATATTCACACACTCTGCATAGGTATATGTGTATATCCATGTTTATATACATACACATGCCTAGATATCTATCAGATTTTGTTCATAAACAAGCTAATTTTCAGTGGTATCAAAACTATAGTTAAGGTATCAGAACTATTTTTGTGATAACCCCCAATACTTTCAGTTGCTCCTAATTTTCGGAGGGAAAAAAATCTCTTCTGGATGCAACTATCCATTCTTGGTTTCAGCACGACTATCAGTCTGGGGAAAATTTTCTGGCAATTGCCTCCAATCCAGCTGCTTTTAAGTTCAAAACAGTTTGGAATATGTAATTAGAACTACGTGCATTTTTCCATGAAAAATTTTGTTTGAGAAGACATTTTTTTGTTTCATTCCAAATAAATTATGGATTTTTTCAATTTTTGGACTGAACAAATCAAAAGGAAAGTTTTTGTTTTGGTAAATTTCAAATCAAAATTTGTTTTAATTCAGTTTTGGTTTTCCTTCTCTCCCCTCTGAGGGGAAAAAGAAAGAAATGGGGGGAAAACAGAAGAAAAGGAAGGAAACACAAATGAACAAATAAAACAAAACCAAACCCCAAGAACTGCAACCAAACAAACATTTTCTACTTTGAAATAAATGAAATGAACATTTCAATTTACTTTCATTTAATCAAAGTATTTTTAAAAATTATAGGAAATATTTTTTTTCACAAAAATGGGCATTGCCTTTGAAAAGCCATTTTTCCCTGATCTCTAGATAATACAGTGTGTGTGTATGTATGTGTGTATATAAAGCGCATATATATATATATACACACACACATATATATATAATAGCATTTATAAGTATTCACATCTGTGCTATATGTAATATACTATATATATTATGCATATATATGCACTCATGATGTATGATAAATATGTAACTCGTATCTATCTAATATACACTTGTATTTCCTTTCCTGTCCACCAAATATACTTTTTTCACATAGGTACTGAAAAATGTGAAAACTGGAAGTGTTCACGTGAACATGCCTTCAGAAGGACTAGTGGCTTGCCTAATTGTTTTTAGGGGGTAGATTTTAAAATTAAAAACCACTCCTAAGTATGCTCCTGTTCAGATATTATGCTGAAGGGGAATCAGGGCTGCAATCCTGTCCCATAGATGCCCAGGGGAGTTTTGCTGTTGACTTGGAGGTTGAGGGGGGCAGGAGTTCACCCTAGTACAAAACCCTAAGAGTTGGAGAGTGTATTTTTTAAATTGTGTAGATGAAGGATAATGAAGAAATATTTTCTCCCCATTGATCAGCTATCCAGCCAGTCAGAGCTTTCTAATTCTGCAGCAGTATGAAGATCTCCTGCCTTTTCTTCTGCCTCCTTTCCATGTGTTGGTTGTATCTGACACCAACAACTGGGAACAAAATCTTGCAATTTGGACCTTGCACAATTTCAATGAATGTTAACGAAATTAGAGCCAGCTTCCGAGCGATCAAAGCAACCATTGTAAGTATTGCCCCGTGCGCTGTAGCTGTAGAAAGGCCTGTACCGTCATGGTTTGACCAACCAATATCTCTTTAAAGTCAGTTATCTGTGGACTGCGGGGCTCAGGAGATTGCGATATGGAGGTTTAGTAGTGACCCAGGGCCAGATTCTTCCTTGTTCCACACCTTGTGCAGTCATTTACCTCACTGTGTGAGTGCAAAGTGGGTGTCTAATGCTTCCGTTCAGCTGTGTGAGCACTTTACATCCACTTTACACTGGTGTAAATGCCAACACGAGGTGCAGGGGAATGGAGAATCAGGCCCCTAAAGCTGTCCCCATCTGATATCTCTTAAGTGACCTATTTGTGAAATTAGTTTTGGTGGTTCTCAGTTCAGTTCCTTTTGAGCTTAAAAAACAAAAGCAGCCACACACCACAAAGTGACCAAGCACAGAACGAGCCTGGGAGGCTGATCTCTTCCTCTCCCGACCGGTCCCTCCAAGTCAGGGACAGATGTGTTGATGAGGCAGTTAGGGGGAAGCCTGCATGCTGAACCTGTTTTTCAAGCAGATTTCACTCTCCAGAGATCATCAGTCTGGGAGCTTTCACCAACATGTAATTCACTTTCAGTTTTTAAGAAGAAAAGCTCTGTTTATACGCTGTATGCATCAGCTGTCTAAACATCCCGGTGGCTGATATGCATTAACATCATTGTATTTTTCTCTTTCTGTTTAGCAAGCCAAAGATGCCATCCGAACCATAAGCATTTTGTCATACCCGTACTCTCTGCACAATTTCAATGTAGGTATCATTATTGCCTCTCTGTACAACTTTTCTTTGATGAATTGATCCTTTACAGATACTTTTAAGTGGGCAGTTACTCAAGGCTGACTGTAAAATTCCACAAAGGTGTGAATTAGCGCTGACTGAAAGGTTCCAATGGAACAGCTTTCCATCAGAAAACAGTGTTCTGTCAACTCAGACATTTTCCCATGGGAATGTGTAGATTTCAACAAAATTTTATTTAGAAAAAGAAAAATCAAAACAAAGTGACCTTTTTGGAACAGAATATTTTGATTTTTGTTTGTTTGTTTCAGAACATATTTTTATTCCAAAATTTATGTTATTTTACGTTCTAAAATATTTTAAAACAGAAAAGCTGAAATTGAAATGAAACATTTTGATTTTATCCAAGCGAATTGACCTGAAACAGTTTTTTTAATTTTGTTTCACAAGAAATTTAGACATTGAACATTTTGTTCTCAGAATGAAAACAAATTTCAAAACTGCAGAATTTGCCTTGAAGCAGAAATTCTGGTTCCCACGCAGCTGTAGTATAATACATATACATAGCGAAGTGGACTAATATGGGCTGATTACATGAATTGAAATAGATGACTCCCTGCTTCTGTAGCCAGCTCTTTTGAAAACAAGATTTCATGTTGATAGTATTTGATAATGAACAGGGGACAAAACCATTTTGCTCCGTATGTTACTGTAGTTGTATCCCTTTGGGTGTGATTCTCTTCAGCTCCCACAAGGGAAGGAGCCTCAGGCTAGATCAGCCTTTGGGATGGGAGACTACTCAGGAACTCAGAGGTGCTTCAGGAAGGTGTTGGTGCTGATAATTTAGTAGGTGGCCTCAGGCGTGTTAGAAGGTGGTGTACAGCTGGAGGTATCCTCTTTTGGAAGAGACATGTAGCCAAGTTCTTGGCTGCTTGTTGATATTAACATCCTGTAGAACTTTTCCTAATCGGTATGGATGAAAATCCTGGCAACTTTCCAGCTTGAGTAATAACCTTCTTCACACCTACATTTCCTTACCAATTTCAGTCGTACTCTTCATGTGTATTCTTCACTTGCTGGGAGATTTTAAAGTTTATGTGTTTCCCAAGCTCCAGGCACATTGCAGCAATGAAGAGATGTATTTTCAAAAGTCCTCAGCACCCAACAACTCTTATTGTTCCCTTTTGAAAGTCAGGCAACTTGTTTAGGTGCCTTGATGGGTCCTTGTCACAGGGTGGCTATGTCCCCACCACACCATCCCCCATGAATGAGGTCAGTCCAGTTCCCCTGTGCCAGGACAGGTGATTTCATTGGCCAATTAGGAGGGCAAGGCAGCAGCTGGGGGCTATAAAAGACTCGGGCAAACCAGAGACAGGGAGACCCAATAAGTAGCAGAGACCTGCTGAATCAGAGCTGCCTGAGTGGGAGTCAGGGGGCAGGTGAGGTCTGCCACAGACACTGTATGCTTAGGAGCTGGGAGAAAGCGGAAGGCAGGAAACAGCAAGAGGCGTTTGCAGATTGGTGTCCCTAAGCCAGAAAGGCAGGACTGGAGAAGGCTGAAGGCAGGAGGAGCAGCAGAGGGAGTTACCTGCTGACTCTGAACCACAGCCAAGGAAAGAAGGCAGGGGAGCAGTGGAGGAGCTTACCTGCTGATGTCTCCAGGGTCAGAGAGCTGGGCCCAGAAGAGCCATGAAAGGGCCAAGGGGAGTGAGGGATGTTCCCCTGGTAAAGACAATCTCCCAGCAGAGAGGCTGTGGGGGCTCCCATTGGGAAGAGTAGAAGTAACACTCCAATAGGAAGGGTCGGGGTGGCTGTCCTGGTACAAGGACAGAGGAGGACTTCTGGAGAGTCTGGGCATGGTCAAAGGTGCTGGCGTGTGATATGTGGGGCATCATGAGACAAGATGTCGGGTGATCTTAATGACTGTTGGCACTGGGGTGAGAAATGAACTACATGTGTTTGGGACTTGTGTTTGGGACGGTTTTCCCAATGTCTCATTATAAACCAGCCCCAAGGAGGGTACATTTGTGTCAAGAAAGCTTGCATAGAGTTACTGGGGACGCTGAATGGAGAAACTGAGGCAGACATGACTGACATGCCGTGGCCTGCCACAGGAGAGCCGCTCCCGGCAGGGGATACCCTAGGACAGTCCTCTTGGGAGCTGAGTTCTTTTGAAAATCTATCCCAAATCTATTGTAAACATTGTAGCAAAATGTATCAAACAGAATTTTAAAAAAAATTATCCATTCAACTGCCATGTTTAGCACCAAAGATGGCTGCATTTTAGTGATGGGTGAAGTGCTTGCTGATTATAATTTTTTATAGCACTGTGTAAAGCATTTAAAAAGAAAAGATACTATTTTTCTTAAGTCTGCAGATAGATGTTGCATCATCCATCACCTTTTAAGATTCTATGTGGACAAGGTCTTCAAACACTGTGAGACTGAGGATTCTCATGTCAACCGGAAAATCAGCAGCATAGCCAATTCTTTCCTCAGCATCAAGAAGAAATTCAGAAAATGTGTATGTCAGGTTTCAATAAATCCCAGTTATCTCTAAAATGTATGTTAAATCCATGAACGTGAGGGATATGAACAAACTTGGCATAGATTTAAATAAATCAGTCAGAACATTTCCTGAGGTTCCAAAAAATTGGCTTAAAAGAGAGTTAGGGGCTTCAACAAAGAACAGAAGCATCAAAACCCCCTGAAAAGAATTGTTCACATGTTCTGATCACTGGGAATCTTTGAGATTTACCCTTGCACCGCATAGCTCCTATTTGAATCTGCAAAATAGTATTTAATTGGGATCTTGGACTTGTGCTAGTTATGGGAGTGAATTTCATCCGTAGATGAGGCAGTCTGATTTAAGGGAATGCTGTATTTTGCACAGTTTAGCAAGAGCTAGCCTATGAAAGAGTCTCCATATTAATCAGAAAGCCACAGCTTGTTAAAGGAGAAAAGCCTCATGAATTCTCTCTCATTTTTCTAGAATGAACAAAATGCGTGCAATTGTGGAGAGGAAGCAATAGAGAAATATAAACAAATTCTCACCAATTATGGACAGGTAAATTGATCAGACTTTATTTGCTAATGCAAAGACTTGGATTCCTTTTTGCTCATTTCATATTGCCGTAATTATTTACCGAATATTTCTTTCAATCTGCTTCCAGCTGAACATTGCTTCTGCAGCAATGAAATCCCTTGGGGAGCTGGATATCCTCCTAGACTGGATGGAGAAGGCTCATTAGAGAACAGAATACAATAACCAACATGCAACTTTTAAAGGTGCTTTAAAGTTGTGCAGCTGCCATGGTGATGAGTGTGCAATAAGGTCTTAATCCAGCTTTCTTTGGGGGTCTTCCCATTGACCTGAATTGGCAACGTAAATGTTTAGACATTGTCTTGTGTAAAGAAGCAATTATTTCAAGCTCACGTGTGGTTTTTCAAATCACAGCACTTATATTCCTGATTAGCCTTGAAAGACTTTCTCTGCTATTAAGGGTAGTTTTTAATTATTCCTTTTAGTCGTGGTTAGATGAGTCTCTTGAGCAATTTAATGAAATTATTGTTTAGATTGTGTGCTCTTTGGGACAGGGACTGTATCTTCTTCTGTGTTTGGAAAGTACAGAGTACACCTTGGGAGCTACTTCAGTCTAGATATTAGTAAAGAATGATGCTTACAACCCTAGGGCTCAATCTTACAAGACCCACGCAGGTAGTGAACTCCCATTGAAGCTAACAAGAGTACAGCCTGGGGAAGGCTTGCAGGATTGGTTCCTGTAAAGGGTTGTGCTCACCACCGTGGTGCCTCTTGCCGGTTGTTCTAGGAATTAGCGCTGTCCAGCAGCAGGGCGCCCCCCTCTGGTGGTGTCTCACTCTCCATTACTGCTGTCTGTGGGGACCCGCGTCACTCCCGGACCTTGGCGTCCTCTTCAGGGCACGACTCTCCGGCTGTGCCCCAACTCCATTGTCTCCCCCCTTCCGGGGGAACTGGCAGTCATTTACCCAGCCTCTCGCCACAGTGGTGAACTGCAGCCCCTCGCTCAGGGGCAAACTGCAGTCCTTTGGCTGGCTACTTACTTCAGCAGTCAGTGGGGCAAAGGGGCGGGGGGGAAAGGCCCACCCACTACTCTGGGCCCTGACCCAGGGACCCTATAGCTGGCAGCCACTCACTGCTTCTCCTTCCCCTCTGCCGCTATCTACTTTCCCTGGGCCACTTCCCTGTAGCTCCAGCACCTACTTGGCCCCTGTATCAAGGCCTCACTCTGGGAGCCAGCCAGGCTGGAGCTCTGCTTGCTCCCCTGACCCTGCCCAGCACTGCTCTGTCCCAGGTACTTCTCTCTGTAGGCAGCCAGTCCTTCTCCCTCAAGCTCTGAGGGAGACTGAGCTCCTCTCTGCCCTGCAGCCCTTCTTATAGGGCACAGCCTGGCCCTGATTGGCTGCTTCTAAGCCTTCCTCTGATTGGCTGGGTTCTGCGCTGCCACTCCAAGGTCTGCTATTAACCCTTTGCCAGCCAGTGAGGGGCAGCTGCCCCATCATAGCCCCCTAATTTTTCTTTTTAAACCACAAAATAATTACTATTGTCTCTTGAAATAATGCTTAGCGTCATTGTGTTTCTCTACATGTGAAACCATTTTCTATGTAAGATAATTTATTCCCAAACAGAAAAAGAACTGAGTTCTTCCTATATGTATTATGTTATCTGCAAGACACTCAATAAGTATATATTGTATTGATCAATTGCACTCCATCTTAAATAAACACTATTCGAAATGATGCTCATTCTGCCTGCTCCGTGTTTGTGAAACTTCCCAACAAGTACATATCTGATTCTTGTTTGTGACTTAATTGATATGTGTTCTTTGATGATACACATTCACTATTGCCACACATTCAAAATTCCTGAGTCAGTCTGTGATGGGGTGCCCACCCCACAAAAGACAGGAAGGGGTTAAGATGGCCAAGTAGAGCCAGGGAGTGGGGAATTGATTGACAGCAGGCTCAGCTGGGCGGGAACAGAAGTGGCCTATAAAGCCAGGAAGCTAGCAACAGACAGGGGCAGCAGTCACTCCCTGGGAGGAGGGTTTGGAGCTGGTACTCCCAGAGAAATGGGGGGAACCAGGAATGGTTGGAAGCAGTCCACGGATGGAGAAATGAGGGCTCAGAGTGTAAAGCCCAGAACTGCTGGATTGACAGTCCCTGGACTGGAACCTGGAGTAGAGGGGAGGCCTGGTTTCCTCTACCAGCCACTGAAGGAGTGGCACCTGGGGCAGTGAATGGGAAGGATGCCTAGGACAGCTGAAGGGAAGACTTTGATATACCCCAGAAGGGGGGAACACCGAGTGACCTGGCTGGAGGGCTCAGTCATGAAGAGGATGCTGTGGTTCCTGCGGTGAGAAAGGGGCTGCAGACCAGAGAGAGTGACGGAGTGACATTGTGCGACCGTGAGAATGGGCGTCGACCTGACGAGCTAATCCCCAGAGTCACCAGGAGGAGGCGCCATCCTAGCAGTGAGTGGAGCACCCAGTCACACAGTCCCAATGAGACTGTTTTTAAAACCATGACACTTTGAAAAATAATGAAGGCTGGATTCTTATTTGCCTTCTGGACTTTGAGCCTTTAGGTCTCACGTTTTCAAGCTTTTGACTCTAATCATAAGGGCTAGAAACTTTTTTTCTTTGTTTACATGAAAGCTGAGATTCTCACATAATTATGACTTTAGTAGCTGGAATTACAAAATCAACTGCAAACATCATGAGACTTACTATGAAGTCACAAGAGTTAGCAACAGTGCATTGCAGATGGCCCTGTGCATTGCAGATGGCTTGTTTCTATGTCAACTGCATCTGTGAAGGGAACAACACACAAGAGGTAAAATTCAGCTGGTGCAGAGCAGACACTCGGGCATTGCTGTTCTTGAGTCCCACAGAAGTGCTCAGAGTAGAATTTAGGTGAGACTTAAGTGGTGCATAGATGTTTTGTTGTTGTTACGTTGGGGCTTTGCCGGGGGAAAAATTTCACCCACTGCAATTTACAGTATATGCAATCAGTATGTTTTCACATGGATTATTCATTGAGTTGCAGTGGGGGAATTTGTTCCTGAGGGATGCATACCTGGAGGATGGCATGGTCCATTGCAGCCTTATACAGCGGCCATGAAATGTTACCCGCCCTGAGAGAAAAACCAGCTCATAATCCTTTAATGTAATGCTGATTGCAATGAAAAAGTGAATATTTCACTCATCCTTATTAGTCCCTAGTAGGGCAGTCGGTACAGTGGTCTGATGACAGGTGGGTTATAAAGGTGACCAAAATGGCTAACTATTGATGTCTGTCCTGTGCAGAAGGTATTTATTACACGTGTAGATGAGCCAGATTCATTCCGATCACACAAAGCCTGAGTATCTGGGGGTCTATGCAGGTGGAGTGAAGGGAGGTTGTGGAGATGGAACACACCCTGTGCCAACCTAGGTCCAGGGTACCAGGCTGCTATGCAGTTCCCTTTAGTTGTTGTTCCCGTCATGGGCTGGAATAGTGGCCAGGGCTTGTTGGTGCCAGTTACGTATGATACCAGTGTCACTGGTACAAGAGAAGAAATAAGCGATTCCAAGGAATGTAAGGGCATTTAGGTGCATGCCACAGGTGCTGCAATCTGGAAACCCAAAGGCGAGATTGATGAGATGTCTGGAATGTTTAGCTTCGGCTTGCTGCTGTTGATTTGTAGTCTATGGTGGCCACTGTATCTCAATGTGGGTTTTTTTGCCTTCTAAGGGGAATGGGGAAGCAAGTCACTTTAGCATCCAATGGGCAGGACTGGGAAGATGGGCACTCTCAGGAAACATTTTGCTGGGTATTTCTTAAGGTGCTTCATATCCTGATGCAAAATATATGAACCTTTCCAAGATATTGAATGTAAGCCAAGTGAGGAAATGTATGGTCAAAGGCAAAACAGAAATCCCTGAGGGAGTCAGTTTACTTTTCTGAAGTCCAGGGTCTGCATTCTGCTGCTCTCCTTTCTTCCCTGTGTCAGGATCCTGAACCCGACCATCTCATGGTCACTGCCTCCCAGGTTCCCATCCACTTTTGCTTCCCCTACTAATTCTTCCCGGTTTGTGAGCAGCAGGTCAAGAAGAGCTCTGCCCCTAGTTGGTTCCTCCAGCACTTGCACCAGGAAATTGTCCCCTACGCTTTCCAAAAACTTCCTGAATTGTCTGTGCACCGCTGTATTGCTCTCCCAGCAGATATCAGGGTAATTGAAGTCTCCCATGAGAACCAGGGCCTGCGATCTAGTAACTTCCGTGAGTTGCCGGAAGAAAGCCTCGTCCACCTCATCCCCCTGGTCCGGTGGTCTATAGCAGACTCCCACCATGACAGCACCCTTGTTGCTCACACGTCTAAACTTAATCCAGAGACTCTCAGGTTTTTCTGCAGTTTCATACTTGAGCTCTGAGCAGTCATACTGCTCCCTTACATACAATGCAACTCCCCCACCTTTTCTGCCCTGCCTGTCCTTCCGGAACAGTTTATATCCAGCCATGACAGTACTCCAGTCCTGCGAGTTATCCCACCAAGTCTCTGTTATTCCAGTCACATCATAGGTCTACTCATGTGAGTAAGGACTACTTGTATGAGTGAGGGTCTAGGACTAGATCCCTGGACTCTTCAGGGCAGGAAGTTAAGTAAGGCACAGTTTGCTGAGGGTAAAACTCATATGTGTGCAGAAGGTCAGCATAAGACCAATGCACCATTGAAGACCCTGTGTAGCGGGGTGAATTCCATCTGTATACTTGGGTGCTGTGTAGACAGATGGCTACATAATACATGACTCCTTGGTTTTAACAAGGATTTTTGTCCTGTGTACTGAGATGATTTTCTTATTAGCCTATGGACAGGTGGTGTTTCCTTTGTCACTTTTTAAGATTTTATCTGGTTACCATTTTCAGCTGCTGCAAGGCATCCAGTCCCCTCGTCAGCAGGAAAGTCAGCAGCAGCATAGCCAACTCCTTTCTCAGCATCAAGAAGGACCTGAGGCTCTGTGTAAGTCAGCGGGAATGGGCCAGATTCTGCTCACAGCCACACCAGTGCATACTTGGAGTAAAGCCACTGAAGTGAATAGAATCGCTCTGGATTTACATTGAGGTAGAAAATCTGGCCAATAATATATAGAACAAGTTCTAATTTTGGGCCAGATTCTGCCCTCATTACTTGCACTGAGTAGCTCCTTATTCTGGGAGGAATCCCATGGGATTACTTGAGAAGTAAGGTACTACTCAGTGTGAGTAAGGGTAGCAGAACTTGGCCCTATGTCTACAGTGAGGTATTGTTCATGCCTGCATGTCTGTCATTAATTACCTTGCCTTTATCCCTGTCCAGCATGAAGTCAGCATGTTCCACTGTGGAGAGGATGTGAAGCACAAATATGGACAAATCCTGAGCCAGTATGAAAAGGTAAAAAGAAAAGGAGTACTT